CCTCACCAGGGAGGGCACCACGGTTCCACTTGGTGAGAGCCGGCCATGACGGCTGCCTCACCAGGGAGGGCACCACGGTTCCACTTGGTGAGAGCTGGCAACACGGCATGTCCATAATACATGGCTCTGTATAAATGCAAGTAAGCCAAGATTGAGGGTAGGTCTCAGGGTTCTCTCTGCCGGCTACATGCCCTGGACTTTAGACAGAGCAATTTTCCCTGCCCTTTTCCATTCATCATCAGAGTTTTGTTCTGGAAAGGGGCTATCAGAAGAGAGTGTATCAGTGGGGAAGAACTAATTCACGCAGGCTTCTTCCAGGGTGCCTCAGCTCCTGAAAGGGTTAGACATCGCAACAGGACTAAAGGTCTTGGTTTGCAAGGTGAAGTTAGCCAAAAACAGATACCTACAGACCACTATTGTGTTTTCTGCAATGGTCTTTAGGTCACCTCTGTCTGCCTGAGGGACAGGACATTTTCCATTTGCTTATTAACTTGCTTACTGGACTTGATTCTTCCCTAAGAGAAGTCTTAAGAGTAGGAAAAAGCAAAAAAGAAAGTGAGTTTCAGAAAGCATGTGTGATTGTTGCATTTCTAGTATTTCACTTTTCTTTAGGGGAACCACGTGCTCTTCAGACCACATGGGTGTAGTGGAACCAACCCCACACCACAGCTGCAGGGGGCCATGTGAGCTACATTGGTCTGGGACTTTGCATTTTTTCTTTTTTGGCCTGGGCCGGGTTTGAACCTACCACCTCCGGTATATGGGCCAGCACCCTACTCTTTTAAGCCACAGGTGCTGCCCAAGGGGACTTTGAACCACCAAGACTATGAAAAGCATATAAACCTAGAGCTCCCAGGAGCCACTATCTAGCAAAGGGCCCCATGTGAATAAAAGGAGAGCTCAGTGATGGAAGGGATGGAGTCCTATTAACAAGCTCTGAACCCCTGAATCCAGCTGTACCTAAAGGCCAGATCTGCCCCTGTACTTTACAATCCCAGGAGGCAATACACACTCTAAAAAAAACTTAATCCAGATTTCTGTCACTTGCAACCAAAAAAGCACCAACAAATACATGAAGAAATAAAAGCGTTAAGAAGAAAGGAAATGAGATTACATTTATGGATATGGTGTGTCTGGAAGCAGTTCAAGTTTGTCCCTGGAAATGCAGAAAGATGATACGTGGGAATCTGTCCCATTTTTCATATGAAGCTCAGATGATCAGAACTGCAGCTCTGCCTAATTACTGTGATTAATCTCGCCAGACTCTAAATATAAAATGAGTGTGCACTCTCTGGCGCTCAGTCATGAAGGGGAAGAATGGGCTCTCACCTCATCATGATGTCTCTGGAGCAAATTTTTTTTACTTTTTTTCTGCCCAAATGAGGAGGAAAAGCCACAAGGGACAAGCCACCTCTCACCTGGCATGGCGTGGATGAGGTCACCACACAGAACGAAGAACCTGGGTCTGGGCTCCAGCTTGTTGATGGCCTGGACGGCCTGCTCAGTGAGCCGCTTCTCCTGCTCCCACTCGTCACCGCCACTGTCACAGTTCCCAGTGGACCAGGCCTTCATCAGTCCAAACTGTGGGTCTGCACCCTGGATAAAGTAGAATGGACCCTTCCATTCCCTTTCCTTTTCTTAAAAAAGAAAAAGAGAGAAAGAAGAGAGGGAGAAATGTAAAATCCGCCAGGGAGAGCAACCAGGTTACCCACACAAGTGGATACAATATTTTTCCTAAATTAAGTAGGTCATTTTAATAAACTGCTGTTCAAACATACCATTTTCCTGTCACAGTCTAGAGATTTTTGATTTATACTAATTATGCCTGGGACCTGGTGATTCCCAAAGGCCAGGAGAAAGCATGTGGGCTGCTACAGCCATGCGGCCAAGCTGTTTGTTTATGAGCTTGGCGGCCGCAAGGAAGCACAGAGACACAACAGAATACGGTATAGAGGATATGAATGCTCAGTAATAGTTTCTTAATTAGAATTAAAAATGCCAAACTGAATGCTGCCAGAAGTATTATATTTAAATTACGAGGTGAAGAAAAGTGCATATACATCTCTTCTGCCAGGTTTCGTGGCACCATTTGCACTGTTTCAGGGGAATGTGACAGAATTCTAATTATAAAACTTGGCGCTCTGAAGCTCTGGCTATCTGGTGGAGAACAAGGTGCCAAAATCAAATCTTGAAATAAGTCAAAAAAAGAAAGAAAGAAAGAAAAATCGATGGTAACATGGCAAAGAAAGGCAGCAGGATGTGGGTGTCAGCGAGGTGTGAGGCGGGGGTGGGGGTGGACAGGGGACTCTTAACGTTCTGGAAAGGGCCCCAGGTCACATGCAATTGTCCGGCTGGCTCTTCCAGTTGGTTCTGCTGAACTGAATCTTTGCAGGCCTCAGGTATCTCCCTTATACACCTGAGAACTGCTGCTGGTACCTGCCTGGGCAGAGCCGGAATGGCCACTAGCGGGCATGGAAACCCTGTGGTGTCAAACTCGTCTCTTACGGGGGTGGCCACAGAACCCTGGCTTTAATCAAAATCTTATGTGGCAGACCAATGTTGAAAACATGAAAAACAGAGCTATTCCCAGGGAGCAGGATCGCCCTGGGACTCCCACTGCCTGTGCTGGATCTGGGGAAGGACAGAGGACCCCCAACCTGCAGCGCCTTTCTTCATCTCAAAGGAAACAGGCTTAGGAAGATGGCATGATCTGCCAAAGGGCCCACCAGCACTTAGCAACAGGGACAAAATTACCCTGTAACCTTGAGACTGTTTTCTTTTTAATAAACGAATGCATGATGCACATTAACTGAATAAATGGCATTTCGTTTGCAAGTCATGATACTATAATTTCCAGAAAGCTCCTTGGAATCATTTCATGTCTATGTGTTTGATATGTTTGTCTGTTCAATAAATATCTACTGAGAGCTTGTGGTTTGCTGGGCAAGCCCCATGCGAGGTGCTGGTGGTATGACAGGGACCGTGAAGATGAGGTCCCTGCTGTCCTAGTGCTTGATTCTGAGCGAGGAAATATACAGTGAACAGCTAAATAAGCAGGGAAGAGACAAGAGAGCCCTATGAGCTATGCAGTGACTCAAGAGTTAGGCAGTGGCTGATTTAAATTAGATGGACAGGAAAGGCCCCTCTGAGGTGAGGACATTTGAGCTGAGGTCTAAATGACAAAAAAGAGCTAGTGGTAACCTTTTAAAATACCACGGCTGCCTTCCCACCTACCACACTCAGCTTACTATCATCTGAGAGTAGACTCTGGCTTCAGGCCACCTTTCTCTTCTTAATTTTTCAGAATTTTACAAAATGTGTGAACAAACAAAAAAACTTTTACATATGCTATAGAATAAAATCCATGTGCATGTTAACCTACCAGTCCTTGACCACACCACAGATGCTGAAGCAAACCACAACCAGCTGGATATCAGTCTGAACAAAGCATTTCACCAAGAGAGACAGTGAGCCAGGCCACCTCTAGCAGGGACAGATGGCTCCAATTCTCATGTCCTCAGTCCTCACCGTGGGGGGGCAGAAAGATTCCAAGACAGGCCCAAAGATCCCTCCCTGGGGATCTCACATCCTTGTGCAACCCCATCTCCTTTAGTGGAGCTACCCCAGCAACCTGCTTCTAATAAACAGATACCGTAATTGGACGTCCCTTCACAGGGCAGGCTAAAAAAAAGACTATGAATTTCATTCTTTCTCCTCAACTCCCCTCCTCTCGCTGGAGCCCTTAATCTGGAGGTAAAAAGCTACCATGTTCTAAACAGCCCTATGGAGAGACCAAGAAGGGGCAAGAAACAGGGAACCCTCTGGCTAACATCCCCTGAGGAACTGAATTCTGCCAACATCCATGCCCATAAACTGGGAAAAAATATTCCCCTGTTGAGCTTTTAGATGAGACCACAGCCCAGCTGACGCCTTGACTGAAGCCTTATGAGAGACTGCAGCAGCGAAGCTGCACCTGTGAGAGACTATTATCTGCTGTTTGAAGCCGCTAAGTTTTGAGATAATTGGTTACACAACCATAGTTACCTACAAGGCAGGCACTGCAGATAGAGGGACAAGGACAAGATTTCCTAAAGATCCGAATGCTGTCGGATTAAAAAAAAAAAATTGAGAATATGCTTTGTCTTTTAAAGTTAATTGTTGGCATCCTTTATTTATTTTGCTTACGTAATAACCTTTTTATACCACTGAATACTTTTAGCTATGTTCCTATTTCTGAGGCTATTTGCAGGGTTGTTTAAACTGGATGAATTAATCAAAACCAGATCAGGGAGGTGATCAACGCCCCAAGGCTGCTACATAAATCAACCTTCTACAATGGAGTTTATAAACAGCTCCCCAAAGCAAACATTTTAACAAATAGTTTCCCATGACAAATAGAGTTTCAAATTGTCAATAGTCCTTGGAGCTATTAAAATAAATCTTTCAATATTACTTGTTTACTTGGTAAAAACTTAGAACCTGGATTTATGATGACAAGGTATAAAATAAATAGATTTGACCTAAAATAAATGACAGCTCACCTATGGATGGTGAAATCTAACTTATCTAATAAGATAATTTGTTGAATCAGGGCTCTATAATCTCAAAAGCAGCTAGATCCTCATGGGTTCCTGCTACAGAACAACCTGATGGTCTTTGATCTCATCTGAATTTTAATCAAGGCAGACTTGAGGATATTTTAGGAATCCTTGAGGAGGAATCTTTTGTGAATGTATACCTCTCCCAACCCTCAAAATGTCAGCTTTGTACATTATGAAAGCAAATTCTTAACAGTATCTGCGTTGAATTATTTTACCAGAGTTAGCCCCAATACAGGGCCTAGGTATTAGTTAAGAGATGCCTAGAAGGGCCAGAGAAAGCTTGTGACACCATCTGTTCCAGGACAAAGCAAGTATCTGCCCCTGGTATAGTCCCGCATCTCTGGAAGCCCCCTGGACACACTGTTCTGGCAATCAGAGCTATGGAAGTCTGCATGAGCTGAGGTCCATCGCTAAAGCACCCTTACACACTGCATTAATCATTATGAAAAAAAAAAAAAAGACACTTAGGGAACCAGTTGTTTTTCCCCCTAGCTTTCCTAAAGAGCTTAAATATGAGACAGCCCAGTTAAACAGCTAATGCCCGACAACTCTAATCAAGGAGTTGAAGTGCCTGGAAATGAGAGCTGGGGAAGAGGGACAAGGTGGTCACCTGAGTGCAGTGAGAGGGCAGCTGCTCGTGGGCACAGAGAGCAGCACTGGGACCCCAGCCTCTGCCCGTGCATCGGCATCGCCTGGCCCCAACCCAGGCCTACTGAGTCAGCATCTGCACCTTCCTGAATCCCCAGGTGACTTGTGTGCACATCCAAGTCTGAGCAGCTCTGACCTGCAACTAACCAACGTGCTTTACTTACCGGCAACTTAATGACGCTGGATGAGAAACAGAAGCAGAGCAACTTGTTTCCCTAAACCAAAACAACCCGGGGGGTGGGGGGTGGGGGGGGGCAGGGGTTGTTGTTGTTCTTAGTGGTGGCATATTTTTTATTTTGTTTTGGTTTTGTTTTGTGTATTTTTCTGTTCATTTTTTGGTCTTTGCCTATGTCAGCTATTTGGCCCCAAACACTTCTTGGTATTATTGATTACTACTATCTAACTATCGCCCTCTAAATTGCCTTTCAAAACCAAATCAAGATTCTGTGAAAGGTAAGAACTTAGTCAAGAAATGCATTATTAAGTGAGATTTTTACATGAGACTTTCTATGATTCTGTGGTATATAACAGAAACACTCATGAGAAAGTACGTGTGTGCGGCTCACACAGTTTGTAAAAGCACAGCAGAGAGGTATGTATTCTACTAAAATTGATAAAAGAACATAGTCGGGGCAGGCAGGGTGGCTCACACCTATAATCCCAGCACTCTGGGAGGCCAAGGTGGGAGGATTGCTTGAGCTTAGGAGTTTGAGTCCAGCCTGAGCAAGAAGTGAGACTCCGCCATCTCCATTAAAAATACAAAAAATTACCTGTAGTCCTAGCCACTCAGGAGGCTGAAGCAGGACCATCACTTGAGCCCAAACAATTGGGCTTGTTGCAGTGAGTTATGATAATGCTACTATACTCTAGCCATCTTGACAGAGTAAAACAGTCTCCAAAAAAGAAGCCAGTCAGGGGCCCTAATTGATAACTATGATAAAGTCAAGGTTGAATTTTGAGACAAAGTACTTATAGAAAGAATGAAAAAAAAAAGGTAGTTAATTGAATAAAGGTCTCATTTCTGCCCCAGATGAAATGCTCCACACCAAGCTCTGGATATGCCTTTAGGGGATCTGGGGTTAATACACGGTGAAGCATCTTCTCATTTAACTGAAACACTTACATCTGCTATAATAAGAACGTCCACAATGAATTCAACTTTTTCAGTGTTGATATTTTAACACAGTCAGAGATGGTGATTTAGCTATCTACTACTATATCACCAGTTCCTGCAAACATCATGGCTTAAAACACAGACTCAGTGAAAGTCTGGAGTGGCTTAGCCAGTCCTCTGCTCTGGAACTCTCACAAGCTGCAGTCAAAGGGCTGGTCAAAGCTGAGGTCTGGTCCGAAGACTCCTGGGGCAGGATCTGCTTTCCAAGCC